AAAGAAAAAACACACAGGCGCAAACAACACGCAAAGCCTCTGAGTCCAGCCTGAGACGGGGTTTTCCAGATTGGGTGGCTAGGATGTCTACACGACATCGGATCTGATCTTCTTGCAAAACATCGTTCGACATTTTCTGAAACCAACCCATAGGTGTTCTTTTGGATATACGGAAACCAGTGTCATCTATTCTGCAAAGCTTTGCAATGACCTGAGATAAGAGATAAGAGATCCCCAATGACCTGCGTGGGCTGTCGCTCGTTCTACCGCGTCTTTGAGCGAGCTCGAAACCCGAGCTAAAGGAACCCCGGCGTCGGCCTGCATCAGTTGAAGCCCAACTCGCGCCACATCCTGGCCAACCCCATGTGCCCCGCGGGTGGTTTGCGCGGTTCTTCGCTACCCCATCCAACAGTAAAACCAAGTTTCATGGTGCCCTGGGAATCACCCACCTGAATTTTTTTAGGCCTGCAAGAACATCTCAAGACATCCCCAAGACGTTCCTAGAAACACGAACATTCCCAGAAGGTATGTTCCAAGACATGTTCCTAGGACAAACATCCAAGTCACGCCCTCACCACCTCTAAGCGCGAACTCTTTTGCGCATTCGGGAAAAAACCGCATCGAACAAAGCAGGAGAGTGACACACACATACACACAATAGTACCTATGTATATATGGTACAGCGTTGCCCCCCCCCCCAATGGTCATGGGTCAGACAACCATACCATCTGGGGGGGGGGGGGTAGCAACACGGAACACGGTACCATATATATATATATATATATGGTGTATGTGTATATATATACATATATATATATATATATTCACATGTATATAGTATACATACTTATCGTGGGTCCTCACATATATATATATATATGTCATGAGTCATAACGTACATGTCAAAGCCAGTTCAGGTGCCCTCTCAAGGGGGCATCAGTTCACGGTAGCCTTTTGAACATGCTCAACCGATGTCTAGGCCCTTCCGTGCAGCAGCCCTTGAGGGGTTCTATTTTGCCCGCAGGCCAAAGGTTCAACCCTTGCAAGAAATCCTTCACTCACTTCCGATCGAGTGGATCCTGGATGGCCCAAAAAAAAGTCCAGACGTCTTGTACTCCGCTCAAACGGTCCAAACCCAATCAGTTTTAAGTCCATAAACTCAGGAAGTGAGCTCACCTAAACCTCCCCCGGCATGTATCATCAGCGCCGAGGCTGCAGGAAGCCTCCCCGGGCTGTTCCAGTTGTGCCAGTTCGCCCGTCCTGTTCAATGATAAGGGCGTGTTCCGACTTCAGCGCCTGGCGAGACTCGGATATCAGCAAGAGTGCGGCTTTGCTCCTCGATCAAAATGCGTTCTGAGGGGCGCTTGGCGGGATGAACCTTGCTTCGAAAGTGACATAATATGGGGCGGGGAGGGGCTACACGAGCTGCAAACGAAACACTCGAAGTGTGGCATTGTTACCAGGAGGTACATGCGCTCTTACTCCTACAGGGGGTACCATCTGGCCAATTACCCAGCCTCCGGCAGTGCTTAAACATTTTTATACGGCTGGTATATCTGTTGACCATATTGTCTGGGGAACAAAGGCCAACCCTGCGACAAGATTTCGGTTGAACAGAAGCTAGGGCGCCAGCAGACTCAGGAGGCAAGAGGTGTGGCGCTTTTGCTTCAAGGTTGAAGTTCGCATCTTACATGCGCTTACATCTCACTGGCTGAGTGGATGGCCCAAAAAAAGTCCAAACTTTATATTTACCACTAAAATGGTCTTCCCAAAAAGTTTAAAGTTCATGAACTCAGGAAGTGAGACATTGTAGTGGACTTGGTGCTTCCGATATGCCAAAACTGCTAGCTCATTGCCAAGAGGGCCAGGAGGCCATGTCCTTTTGCTCCGGACAGGTGTGTAATAGAATCCTCCCCCCCCAAACATGTAGAACACGTCTTGGCAGGATATGCTTGATGTTCCCACTCTAGGAAACACAATTGCAGACAACACTTGTGCCCAACTATTTTAAGCTCGCAAACGCGTGCAACGACCTTAAAACGAGTCAAACGCATGTTAGCCCTTTTTATTTTGCTCATCTCGGTACAGAATTTAGAGGAAACGGAAAAGAACAAGACGGAAGACATGCTGTTGCTTCTGAGCCTGCTGGCTTGACGGCAGGTGGATGTGAGAAAATTGTGCAAAGCTGACCAGCCGGCGCAGCCCATCTCGATTCAAAGCGGCACATGTCTGATACCACGTCTCATGTTCACCTTTGCGGGAGCTTGCTTTTTGAGCTGAGGACTCCCATTGGGGTGTGTCTTTTTGAGGTACTCCTGATTTGCTGGCTTTAAAGGAACACCAGAAGAAACAACAATAAATTATAGGGGTCCAACCCAAACCACGACTCGTGTGGAACAAAAGTCCTCTCGGCGCAAACGCCCTTGGACCCCTGTCTGCGGAAGCTCCTCGAAGAGCTCTCCGCCCTTCACCCGCTCCATGACCACATAGAGGAACCTCTTGTCCTCCAAACGAAGCCGCTGTCGAAACTCCGAACCCGGCCATGGCCTCAAGAATCCATGACACCTAAGGGTCCAAATACCTTCTAAGGAGGTACTTTGACCTTTTTAGCCCCACAAAAAACCATCCCCAAGAGTTAAAAGGTATTTGGAGCCTCTCGGGACCATCTCTGCAAGTTTAAACCTTTTTCAAGCAGGTAAGTCGGGCTTATGACTCCTGCTTGCTACACATGGCTGGTACATCGTGTGAGGATCCGTTTTGGACGTGGAGACTCAATGAAAGGCGGGGTTTGCATTGATATTGTGCAATGCAATGGATTCCTTGCTCTAGTTCCGCCCTTCCAGGCATGGGAATGGGATGCCAGTATCGCAAACGCGACAAAGCGGTGATTGATTTTAGGAACCATATTGAATACACCCCCCTTTATCCTGAAACAATACACCAAGCAGACTCCAAAGCGAGTGGCATTCAATCCGAAAGCTCGCGCCGTCGAGGCGGCAACGCCGCTTAGAGTTAGTGGCAAATCCCCGAGGATTCCCGGACCAGGGCCTTCTGAGAAGGCTACGCATCCGAGTGCGAGCTGCGAAGATTGGCCCCCTTTTGCGACTCTAAGAAAACCGCCCTGCGACGGGGGACTCTGTGGCGCCTCCATTGGTTTTGCCCAGCTTTCCGTCGCACGCTGATTTTGCTCGCCGGGCAAGTCGCTGGGCGAACACAAAGCTGGGACGATTTAGTTGGGGTCCGCCGCCCTGGATGAAAGCTAGCGGTGGGTTGATGGACGAGGGGATACCCCAAGCAAAGACACAATAATGAATTCGGGAAGGGTGCAAATGTTTCTTGAATCCTTAACGCATGCAAGCGTCTACCTTGAGCCTTCCTAGTCGGCTCCATGCTGAAATTGCCACACAGAGTTGCGAAGTCGCAATCCGACTCTCGGGGGCCAAATGGCCAATGTCAGCAACATGAACTAAGTGAAGCGTCGTCGTCAATAAGACTACCCTCCCACCAATTAACATGGAACCTGACGCGCGGGTCCCTATGAAAGGACCATGGTCTTCCCGGACCCCCCTATCAGGATTCATGTGAATTGGTGGGAGGGTATTGTGATGTATTGTGCATCTTCTGCTTGTCTCTGTGATACTTATTGAAGCCCCCACAGAGCATGATGTCTTTTCGCAGGTAGCCTCTTCCGCTGGATCCCAAGCTTGTCATCCATGGCGGGTCTTGAGGAAGTCAAACTGTGCTCAACTTCCAAAAGTGTCTTGCGCCCTGAGAGAGCAAATGAAAGAAAACACAGAGGGGCCTTCCATTTGTGAGTAACTCGCAACCATGTTTCTCTAAACATGTATGTCTGCTACACATATGAGCCGCCGCCAGAACCCTTATGTGCCAAACTGGGTCCACCAACAGGCAGAAGGCGATGTTGATTTATATCCAAGCATCGCTTTGCGATTCAGAGGCACGAGCGCTGTTTCCACTGTGCATTTCTTGTGAGCCTGGAATACCTACCTGAGAATGAGTTTGTCTGTGAGTTTGTCTGTCTACCTGGCTGAACTCAGAAAAGCGATGCGAATCGTAAAAACAAAGGATCATTCATTGTACGTGTTTCGGCTGCGAGCAGGTCTTGAAACGAAGGCCTGAACAGAGCCCTTGTTCACATAAATTTGGTGTTTGGAATACTTTGCCCTTTTGAATTACGGTAGATGAGAAGAAGCCGGAAGACTACGGGAATGCCATGGGAAAGTTTCAGGAAGACTAGAAGACTACAGGCAGACTTCTGGAAGATTGCGGGACGACTACAGGAAGAGACTACAAGACTTTAAAACGAGGGATTCAGAGATATCCCCTAACTAGTCAGTAGCCTTCCCTAAACGGGTGAGACATTGGTTCCGTGCCGAGTGTGCCAGGCAGGCCATGCCGCACATCGCTGTCACCTGGGCGCATGTCGCCACGTGCAGCTGAAACCAGGGTTTACCCTTGAACCTCAAGCAAAAGGTGGCGAAACCCACGGTCCCTGGGGTCCTCTATATCCAAAATATCAAAAATAAACGCCCCGGCATTGCTCCTGCGATACCGTATCTGCCTAGCCTAGAACCTGCATCTGCATGGGACATTGTAATGGTTGCTTCGTGTCATGGCAAACGTGGCTCAAGCATGTTGCTTGCGAGAACGAACAGAGTCGCTTGCCCTCCCAGCTCATGTAGAAGCATGCGTGCCCATCGACCGACCAAATGGCGCTGAATTGGTTGCCTTCATCATGGGTCAGGTTGCATGCCCTCCTTTGTGAGATCGCGGCAATTTGCGCAGGTGAGTACTACATCAACTTCGATTTCGCAAAACCTTCCTGTCCCTCAACTGCAAGCGCACGCGCGTTTTCCAAGCAATCTCGCGCGGCCGCACGGCATATCGACACTAAAAGAGTTTTGAGACATATGGCTGTGGGTCAAAACCCTGTACCCCTGGTGAACATCAAAATAGGTGGCAAATGGATGTTCATTCACCCCAAAATAGAGCCACAGGTTATGCCCCATGGCCATATCACGTACTAACCGTGGAAGTCCTCCGTTTTACTTCAATGCAAACAGCGCAAGGAGACTTCCAGGGCACCAGTCTATCCAGCTGCCCAGTCCTTTGGATGGCCGGAACTGGGAAAAGGACACGGTCATTTGTGTCTCCTGAAAAGCAACAGGGAGCCCCTGAACCGTTCCCTCAAAAGAAGATGCCTCTAAACTAAACGGCTCTTGGGGTTCCGTGCTAGTATCCGTGCTAGTGGCCCCTCAACCGTTCCCGCAAAGGAATATTCCTCTATAAACTGCTTGGGTTCTGGTATCCTTTCAGGAGAGTGCGCGTGTCAGTCTGCTCAACCTACCCTGCAATTGAGCAAACCAGAGCCGAGGAAAGTCCTTCGCTGCAGCCAGCGGCACGTCCTCACAACCGATTGCTGCTTTGCACACATCTGGTATCAGCGTATATGTGTCAACCATTTGCAGGAGCCCTTTTCAGACGGTTTTCAAGGGGACCCAACATCAAACCTAACATGGCGCATGGCCTGGTTTGCACTCATAAACTCATGGAAACAAGGGTGCTGCAGGAATAGTCATCAGCGATGTGACAAGCATGGGATGAGCCTGCAGGAATTTCAGGCAAACAAAGACACCAGATTGCAGTTGAAAAGTCTCCTCAGCAAAGTCAGGATCCCAGGGACTGAAGTACCATCCCCCAAACATGTCTCCCCCTGCCAAAATGAAGACCCAGTGAACTGTCAATTTATGGACCCTCCAATCCAGGGCCACTGGAAAAGTGTATTTGGTTCACACTAGCAACATATGTGCCTGCCAGCAACAGCAAACGCCACTGCAATCCCATCTGATGCTAAGTGCTCTCCCAGCGCGTGCCTGCCCCTCCCTCCTCCATTTGGGGGTGAATTTCTTGCGCAGCCTGAAACAAGGATCGATCCATGATCCCATAGGGCAGCTTCCTTGTGGTAATCAGACACTTACAGGGACGCAAGCCTAAGGCCGCCACCGAGCTGCAAAGTGCATCGATAACACCAGACTAGAACCAAACTGTGCATCCTGTCATCAAAAGAATCAGGGTGCATGGCGTGGTTCTTTCTTGAACAACATACATGGCTTCAGAAATACACCCTCCATAACAATTGCCCGCAAACCAAACACTATCCAACCAGCAATGGCACTCCCCCGATACAAGCACAACAAATCTCAGCTGAGTCCGTGGTCTCTGGCTACACGCAACCATGCATCTGCGCTGATGTCTTGGTTCTAAAAGTACTGTGGATGGACAAAATCCACATCGCACCAGTTGGGATGGATGAAACTTCATGACAACTGGTTAACAACAAAAAAAACACCCGGTGCTGGATTTTGTCCATCCACAGCAGGGAAACCCTCTAAACTGGCTGGCATGCCTTCAACCAACGACTCGGCTTCGGCGAGCTGGCGAGCCTCAAAAGGCCTTGACGCAGCGCTCCGCCAGCTCGTCTCGGGGATGTAGCCGGAACCGGAACCAGTACTCCTGCCGCACGGCCCGGGTTTGTTCTCCACTCTTCTTGCTGGTGCGATAAGTAGGGAATGAGGGAAAACCTGGGGGTCCCCCTAAAGGAAACCGCAAGGGATGGTTTACAAGGGTCATTCCCTCATTCCATCTCATTCCCTACTGAGCACCAACAAGATGAGTGGTTCCCTTTGGCTTGCTGTTAAACCAACTCCAACAGGGGTATCATCAAAACGGACACATCTTGGACAAAGCTGCGAGAAATCCGGGCCGTTGAATCCACGCTGAGCAATGTGTCCCAAGGTCCCAAGGCCATGATTCACATGATTGTTCTCTCCTCACAGCACGGCAAACCAGACACAACATTCCTGATGTGTCGCAGCTTCTCGCTCGGGCCCTTGTGGAGATGCCCACCTGTATCGAATGGAAACCCTGGAGAGTGTTCAAGGTTTATCCTGTCCCCAGTCTCACACGATAATCTTTGGGCAATGTTTCTGCCCAACTTCACGCAGCGTATACCTTCAGAACTTCAGCTTGCCTGACTCGAAAGGCGCAGTCTCAATCCCCCCCCAAACCGCACCGCACAGTCCTCCCAGAGCTTGAAGCCAGCCTGCGCCACGTCTCTCCCAACCGCATGACTTTTCTCTTGATCAATTTTCCTTTGAACCAAGCCCAAAACCAGGGTGCCCCTCCACCAAACACATACAATACCCCCCAATTAACGCGGAACCGGACGTTCGGGGGTCCTTTAAAGGAAGATGGTCTTCCACCCCCTCAACGTCAGGTTCCATGCTGATTGGTGGGAGGGCAACCTTTTTGTCTCTTCAACCACTTGCCCCCATCTTCACCACGAAGGGGCTTGCTAACGCGCCTGGCATGGGCTCAGTCTCAGAACCTCCTCGGATGGGCAGTACCTGCCCGTCGCGCCACTCCCGGACCACTCCCTCTGCTCATGGATTCTTGGGTCTATTGAGGCTATAGGATCTATCTCAAAGCCAAGGATTAGAAAGGGATTGGAAAGATAGAAAGGCCAAGAATCCGTGATAGATCCTATTGCCAAGAAATGCCAGGGATCTTTATCCAAAGCCTTTCCTTTTTTTTCCCAGGCCTCAAAACGGGATTGGAAAAGCCATGAGCCAAAAAACACAAACCTACTGGGTTCATGATCCATGAGAGCAATTGAGAGCCCAGATACGTTTCTTCGCATGTGGCTCGTGCATGCAACATGGCTTTGCCAACTGCCCCGCGAAAACCGGGCAGCGACTTGTTTTGCGCCTGGCGTTCAGGAACTCGGGTGCGGGTCCTGCATGCAAGAAAATGCACCAGTGTGGCAATCGGTTTGTTGCTCGTCAAAGCACATTCTTATTCAAATGGAAGCGAAACATCATACTCTCCCAATTCACAGGGAACCCCAAAACGGGGCCAAGAGGGAGACTTGGAAGTTGGGAGATATATCTTTGCCACATGGTCCATGTCTACCCCAAATAGGTCGCTGTAGGCTCCGCATGGCCCGTCGACTCCAGAAACAGTTTTGGCAACCGCGGCGACACTCGCCAGGAATGAAATATTCAGACCGCAATGCAAGAGACTTCCACAGCCGACATTCAAGATACTAGCGGAAATTCAAAGCAACATCGGGACTAGGACAACCAAAAGCAAAATAAGAAGTAGTGGAAGCGTACATTGTAGTAGCGGTACTCATAGTACTGGTAGTGCTACTATGCGCTGGTAGAAGTAATAGTGAGTTATACTAGCAATAGTAGTAGGTCGAGAACTAGGTATCATCTCTTTGTCAAGGGTATCGTTCCTGAAGGCTGTACAATTGTTGGGAGGCAGTCCTTGACTTCTGGGCTACTTAGCTTTCACAAACACATCAACAAAACTCCACCAAAAACATTGTTCCCTGACCTTGACACGGGAAACTTGGACTGTGCCCTCGCCCAAGAACGGAGATTGGTGGGTTGTTGGGACTGGCTTTTAGTTCAGGCCATACATCACGGACAAACTTTCAAACTCCTCAAATCTGCACGCCTTCGGTCCAGTCCTGAAAGGATTGATGACCACAAGGAGAGTGTGTACGGTCTCACCTGGCAGCGCAAAAGCGAGACTTTCCAACATCAACTTGACACAGGGCCATGGAACATCCCGGCGCACATGTCACAAACAAGCGATTTCCCAGTTGCCCAAAAGACCCGGACATGACAGGTTCACCTTTTGAAGCATGACTGAAATGGACCAGGAAAGGGAAAACCAAAAGGTCAAAAAGTCGTTTCGCGTTGGGCAACTGTTTTTGTTTTATTGTTTTTGCATAATTATTTGTTTTACGTCAACTAAACATCTTCATCACATTGAAGCTGCGACATTCCATAAAAGGCGCGAAGCAATGGGCGTTGAGCATCGCACCAGGTTGCAAGTAAAACTGTCAGCCACGGCTCACCCACGCCTTGATCCGTGACAACCCGTTTCACTGTATAGGTATCCAAGGGCCCTACCCGATACACAAGCCAAGAGGAAAATGGATCGAACCAGTTACCTAGTATAGTTGTCCATTTTCCTTTAGATCTACTGGGAAAGACTATACTTGATAATACTTAAATGGAAAAAACAACCGTACTATTATAGTGGCGAAACGCCTTTAGAAGATCCGCCGGGAAGACTTTGGACCATCCTCGCAAATTGAGGAGGGGTTCACATCGTGAAACCGACTTGCCAAGGCCTTCTCCATGCGCTCCTTCTCACAATCCCCCAGGAATGTGCCCCAGCGATTCCTTTGGCTCAAATCGCAGTAAGGCTCTCGCTCCACAGGTGTCCTTTTGGACAAATAGATGCCCTCGTGGTAAATGGAACAAATCCAATCTAAACCAGTGCCATCTGCTTCTAATTAAGCTTCTAACCAAAGTCACGCTCTCGCTCTCTCACTTCTCACTCACTCTCGCTCTCTCTCATTAGCTGAAATAAAACATGCCATTTCATGGTCACCACCAACTATGCAATAATCATATTCCACCAATCTGACTTCAGGGACCAGAAGTAAGCACCTTCATCGTAAGCTTGCTTTGCCCCTGAGGCGAGTTCATCATAGATAGTGAAAACAAAAGCAGTCATAAGCCCGCATGTTGCCAGTACAACTTCTTGATCGTCCCAATTCCCCAGATTGACCAGCTTGAATCGCACGATTTGACAGCAGCTCGCAAAATGGTAGCACTCAGGCAAAACAAGGCTGACATGGACGCCTTTGCGATCATGGCAGCTATCGATGCATGGGTATTGGCGAAGTATCGCGGGTTAAGATGTTCAGCATTTGCTTTGTGTTTGGAGAAAACGCGTTGCGTGTCGATTCATTCAGTAGTTCTCAACGTTGCTGATCAAGGCAAGGAGCCCAGATTTCAGTATGGCTGCTTGCTTCATCCTGAATGCGCAGTTCTTCATCTGAGGCTGCTGTTGTGAATGTCTCAAGTTCGTTTAGCTGGACCCCCCCTCAACATCTCGAAGCATGTGCTGTTAATAACTTAATTCTCTTGTGTAGGTCGTTCTTGTAGAAAGAGCCGTCGAGGGTTGCGGTGCAAACGGGCTGCCGTGACATCGCATCCAAGACATCAACAGCAGGCAGTATGTGCACCCTCGAATCTGTTTGGTCTTTAATGCCCATTATTGACATGATTTACTAGACGAAGTTTTGCCTGCTCCCAACCACGCAAGTGGGTGTCTCTTCTTTCGGGGGAACCCCTTTCAAAAAGAAGCCAGAAGGAAAAAGACAAAAAAATGGAGGGTCCCGTAAGACATTACACACCCAAGTCACTACTTTAGCTCACAAGCTTCTGTGCGTACCGAGACTCGTGCAGACCTCCCGGGTCAGGTAGAGCAGCAAGTCCGCGGTAAACTCAAAGGCCGTGGGAAATTGCAGAGTCATCTGGTATACCTCAAAGCAGCTCGGTCTCCAAACGAACAATTACTTTCGTGTTCTTTTTTCTGGGACACGTACATGCCAGAGCCCTTTTCATGTCGGCACACGGCCATTGACCTGAATGCGGTACTCTGAAGCTTGGTTGATCCCACTTTTCACCCAGGGTTCTTTTGGCGCACTTTGGAAAGAAGAATACCTGGGCCTGGGAAAGAACGGTGCAAGGGCTTGCTGAAGGAAGTTTTGCGCCCAGAGCCTGGTGAGGTAACCGCATTCGCAACATGGGCTGCATGCCGAGCACTGCCCACAGCATGGGCTTTTCCGTACCCATGAAGCTGATCCTGTGGACAAAGTCCACGGCAGGCACCGGTTGGGATACCTAAAACCTGATGCATGCCGGGGTAAATCATCTACCAACTGGTGCGTGCCGGAGATTCTGTCCACCCACAGCATGAATCAAAATACAAGGATTCCGGAATGCAGCAAATCAGCGACCAGAATTGACTGGAGAAGGAAGCCAGCATGAAGCCAAGTTGGAATGTTTCACTCTGACAGCAACTGGAGGTAGATTCAAAGAGGGTCATATATGCGGAAAGGCTTCACAAACAAGGCGCCTCACATTCTGCTTGCGCAATGCTTTTGTGAACTAGGCAACAGCATCATAGGCGCCACCATGGCGGCCGATCCAGGCCCGAGCTGTGACACGGAGCACAGCTGCAGTCAAGATGCGCACTCCAACCACTGGAAAAAAATAGGGCTGTACCTCGGCAGCTAAGAAGTGTAGAGTCTGGCTCATCAGCGGGCCCTACAGATAGCATGATACGGATGAACAGCATGGCATGTCGGTACCTGAGAACCTGCTCAGCTGTGAACATGGCTGTCAAACCACCCTTGAAAACCTCACGTTTCTTTTTCTTTTTTTTCTCCAAGGCTTGCCTGTCAAAGGCTGGCTGCTTATCTCTGCATTGTTCTTGCTCAGGCACAATAACAATTGTGGGTATGTGCCATCTTGCTGTTTGGGTAGGCAAGGTCCTTTGCCATGTGGAGACGTGGCAGCGTGCTGATACAACTGTGCGCGGCAGGTGATCTGAGGTGTACCAAGTAGACTTCTCCGCTGGCTCAGCGGGGTGCTGCTGGAATCCACGCTGTCGATGCAAAGAACACCATCAACAACAGCAAGGTTTCTTTCTGCGGTCGGTGTTTGGTGCTTAATAAGGCGGAACCAAGGGTGATGGTGGTTCAATGTTTGCAGACACACCAATATGGGTGACTCACAACAGCTTTCGGTAAAACAAGACGTATCCAATCCAGCGGCATGCTCTTCCTCACACAAAGCAGGGCTGTTCCCTCTACTCCAGGGCTCTTCCTCTTGTTCCCTTACCAGCATTGCTTGGTATGCATCAAAGCGTGGGGATGAAGGGGAAGGCAGGCCAGTGAACCTATCTATGAGCTTTTGAATAATGATGGGTCACCGCCCTCAAACGACTGAAATGATGCCAACATTTCAGGCATACCGCCGGCATTCCTACGATCTTCATCACATCTGCCCCATTTACCTGTGAAAGCAGTCAGTGGTTTGCCAACTGCCCAGCCAGGAGCACTAGCTTTCAAATCAACATAAGTGAAGCCCGTACTTTGAATGAGAATCATTTACCGGGCGGCTCGCTGGTTGGCTTCTCTCCGTTGGCCAGGCGGGTCCGGAAACGGTGGCCGAAGTTGCAAAACTCCTGAAATGTTGATCAGTGGGCATCACAGCCAACACAACAAGAACCACAATCACCACCACCGCCGCCGCCGCCGTAACCACCACCACCACCACCACCACCACCACCACCACCACCACCGCCGTCACCACCACCACCACCACCACCAGCACCAGCAGCAACAGCAGCAGCAGCAGCAGCAGCGCCAGCATCAGCGCCAGCGCCAGCGCCACCAACAACAAGAACAACACAAACAACAAGCAGTACATCACTTCTACAAGTACCACAACTACATCAACAGCAACCGCATCAGCAGCAACAACAGCGGCACCCACCACGAAAGCAAGCAAGCCAACCAAGCAAGCCAAGCGATGCAAAGTAAACAAGCTACCAGCCAGCCAAACCGCCAGCAAGCATGCAAGCAAGCAAGCCAATCGAAGCGATGCAAAGGAAATCAAAGCAAAGCCAAGCCAGCAAGCCAAGCCAGCCTAATTTACAAGCCAGCCAGCCAGCAAGCGAGCAAGCAAATAGGCTGTTGAAATTAGGCAACCACCAAGCAAGACGTCCATTGTATGTGACAATCCCCTGAACAACAAAATCCAGGCGAATGGTGGTGTTCATTTAAATATGCAGTGACATAGCAAACCCTTCCGCGAAACTTTCCGCGAACCTTTCGCGCTGTGAAGGCTACCTTCCGTGAGCATGTTCTTATACTGGTCTATATAAGAGGGCCTTCCGCAGGCAAGTTGCTTCTGGAAACTGACGAATGTAGCTTCTGCGAGGGAATTCGTGTGCACGGTTTGCTAGAAAACGTGCTTGGCAACAACCACCAGAACGAAATCAAAGTACTATGCGCAAATCAGCAACGTCCCTTCCGCGAGCTTCCGCGGGAAAAACAGACTCTGGTTTTTGTCGAGATGCCAACATCTACACATGCTTGCTCAAGCGGAAAACAACAACAGCCACTCAATACGAAAACCACACTGTGTATGTCTTGCCCATGCAAGTCGGTCTGCCCCCAGAAAGCAAAGGCGACTTGGGTCTTTTAAACATTCTATAGGGTAACCAAGTGCATCATCGAGCTCCTTCTGGATCAAGAGCAGCAAGCCCCGCAGGGAGCGGTAGTGTGGGTCCATGCAAAGCATGGCCACCTCAGCTTGTCCCCAAGTCTTAGTCCGGTCAATTTGCTATTAAGAATGAGAACCTTGAGATGTTCAAACACTAAACGGGGAAATCAATTTCCAAAATTGACTCGGATCTCCGAATTGGCGTCCAAATTTTGACTGGGACTTTCTGAGAACGCCTCGAACGGAACATGTCCAGTTCCCCCCCTGCAAAAACGGCCCCTACGCCAACCTTCTCGCACACAATCTGGGTGAACCACACAAAACGCCGCAAACTGAGGTACGACCCCACCAACAGTCTTTGCAAGGTCGCCAAGCGGCAGAGCTCACCTGTGCAGTGCGGTCCCAGCCATCCGAACAGTGGATCACCGCGTTGCAGCGCAACGTCTCCTCGGTGGTAAGTCGACTGAGTGTCAAGTTCCGGGGAAGTCGACTGAGTGTCAAGCTGAAGGATTTTGACTTGCACCTGAGTTTTGTTGATTTTTCGTAGGTACTGTGGATGGACGAATTCCTGCACCACCTAAGAAACCCTGGAATGATTCAATTGCCCTGTAAATACCAAGAAACAATGATTTCCCATAGTTTCTCAGATGGTGCAGGATTTTGTCCATCCACAGTATCTGCCTTTGAATGGGGATGAAGGGAAACCGACACGAAAACGATATGCCGCGGTTCCTGGAGTTGCGCTAGAAGGATGGCTAGAACTCTATAAGTTGACAAACCAGTGTACATACATCGAGCAACGTGAGTGCCCTTGGCAGGTCTGTTTTTCCTCTGTACTGACTTTTGTTGGAAGGCCGGTACAGCAGTTGCTGTGCTGTTGGTCGGATTTAGGGTTGGGAACCATCCCACTTGCACACGGTCGCAATCTGGAACACTACAGTGGTCCCCTTGCAACTAAAAAAACAACAAGTCATGATCACAAGACAATGCTGGTGTGTGTGTGTAATTACTTGGCCGCTTCTATTAGCACGTTGGGCTACTTTGGTCATACCCAACTGGTAGAAAATGAGCCACACATCTAGCACCATGCACAAATGCCTGCCAAGAAGCAATCTCATGGACGACGTAGTTGGCACACTGGAAGATATTCCCAATGAGGTCATACCTCAGCTGAGTTGCATCAGGCTAGTCTTGTCAGTAGCTTCTGAGCTAACTTGGCCTGCAATGCCTGCAGGAGGAACTTGGGCAATAGAGGTCTTGAATACACTTGCCATATCTGTTTCCCGCTACTCCCCGCCTGGATGACGACGGCAAAAAAGAAGAAGACACCACAACAGCAACAAAACATGTGCCATGCCTGACGTCAGGCAGCCATTGCCCCTGACCCAACCGGGCACTGTTCTGCAACACTGAAGGCAAGCACAACATCGTGTGCGCAGAAGTCCTTCACAACCTCCAATCAAACCTTCAAAGCTTTACCGCCGCGGTTGAAGTCCACCTCAAGTTTCAAGCTGGCCTGGGTGGCTTCCGGGAAAAAATATCGGAAGACCTGTTGCCCCTCTGACGTTCCTGGAACAGTGACTGGCTAGACTTGATTGAATGCAGTGCATGTTGGCACATTCTGCTCTGGCCCAAGGACTACTTCTGCAAGGAAGCCAGATTCAGCAAACGTCGGATTCCCGCGCCCCCAAAACAAACGTGGACCAGTGACTATTCCAGGGTCTTGCGCTTGTGCATGTCTTTCTTCTTCCCTATCACTTTAGACTTGTGGGCTTGGCTGGCCCGGAAAGACAACAGCACACAAATGACATGTTAGTGTATTTGTGTGTGTGGTTTAGGGGACCCCTAACATGGTGGTGGTCCTGTTGGTTTCCCTTGTAAAATCAACCAACAAGGAGGATCCCCCCAAAAAAGACACCCCCCCCATTTGCATGTGGGACAACTCACGAAAGTACTCCGAGTCGTTCACATGCAAGCCGTGAACAATGGCTTCACAAACCATGTTCTGGCCAAGCAGGACCATGACCATTCAAAAAAACAACAACAAGTACAGAACAAAGTACTGTTAATCTATGGCTTGAGCAAAACAAGTTCTGCTGGCAGTTCCCACAAAGTAAACGCAGCAATTGTACGCTATGCTCTGCCTGATGCCACCTGTCGAGTGCCCAGTTGCCACCCGGAGTTGGCAATGTCCCGAAACCAGGACCCCACCTGCACTCGAATCAAGGGTCAAGGGCCATTGAATCGCGTCTGGACCCCCCGCCACCGAAAAGTTGCGAAGGCTTGCGCGGAGCCTTCTGGGCAAATGGGAAGATGGCCGGGAAGCGGCCGCAACACGGTGAGACTTGGCAGGTACTCATGAAGTTGCATTGACATATGGCCAGCTCACTGGGTGAGTGCCTCTTATGATCAGTCCTTGGGCATCAACTTGGGTGAAGCATCAAATGACAAGCAGTTGCCGAGTGCTGCTGGGTATCCCACAAACCAAGCTCCGCAGGCACCCTTTCTGGGTTGAACAGAAGAAGAAAAAAAGGCATCCGTGACATCTTGCTGCCTTCGTCAATGTCATTGCATAGGAGTCAATAGAATCGGCGAATCGAGGAAACATGTTGGATGCCCGCTCCTGTGACTTTCATCTCGTGCTTCCCTCTACAAACACTCTCTTAAGCACTCCCTTGGCTGGCCCAACCTCTTCAAATGCGATGTGCCCCTCAAAAAAACAACCTTCCATTTGGACATGAGGGAGAAAAGCTCGACAGCGGATCCAGTGTCAAATGTGGAGGGTCTTGAATAAAACACATCTTCGGCCCTTCTGTGGCTTCCTTCGGAGATTTTACAAGACATCACCAAGTGGACTCGGAACAGCTAGTCACCAGCAGGCACCACATGTATGCTGCCTTTGGGTTTTGGAAAATCCCACTCTCCAACTGACTCTTTGGGCGGTTGATTGCTTGGAAACAACGCAGTTACAACACTGTGCAACAGTAGAACAAACTCGCAACCACTCGTCTGCAAACGAACGTCTTTCAGTCTCCTGACAAAACAAAAAGTAGCGCCAAACCTCATCTGCAATCGGAACTCCCCGTCGGTGCAGCAGCGCGAACACGGCGATCAACTCTCTCTTGCAACAAAACCCGATGGACTTATTCCGCACCAAATCTGGAAATCACTGGCCTTTTTGATGCAATCTTCCGGTTTCCGAAAACTGACCATTTCGGGGGTCGCCTAAAAGAAGACACACCCACCTCGCACCACCTCTCTTTGACATGTTGTGCGCATGCGCCTCGTCATTGTTGAGCCCGGTCATGGCCTGCGCCATCTTTTTCCAAGCGTCGCCTGGGTGTGGATGGTGCGCGGTCTCTTACCGATAGCTGCGCCGAAAAACATGGGCACTCAAAACGACCAAGCAATGTGCTCCGATCATTGGTGCCTGCCAAGATGAACAAGAGTTTTGTTTGGCCAGTGTTGTCGTTGCAAAAAAGACGGGTGCGTCTGTGGCAGTTCCGCGAACACCTGTGGCAACGGCCTCAAGTTGCCTACGCCTCAAAAACTGAGTGTCAAAGGGTGAACGGGGCCGGTGATTAGATTTAAGTGTGTGTGCGTCTTTTTGTGCGAAGCATATCGAAGCAAAACGCGACCGCCTAGCTGACTGAGAACATGCACACCGGACTGATGCAGCCCATGTTAGCGGCGCGATTGGGAGCCAGTCGTGATCATTATTGACATTTTTAACATGACAATCAAACGGAATTTGTTTGGAAGGAATACAACCATCAGTGCTTCTGGCAAGAACTAGAACATGTTCTGCGTGATCTGCATCTGTAGAGCGTGTTGCAAGATCCACCGTTTGCAAGCCGAGACAAGAACTTTCATTGTGCAAAGTCAGGACCCTCGTGTTGCACATCCCCAACGATTACATGGGCTCAACCATGCCCCAAACTGTCCGCTGGCGTCATGCCAGTGTCCACCGCCAAATTTAAATAGCATGCCTTGTCACGCCGGCCTTCAAGAGCCCTACAAGGTCCTGCAAGGTCGTACATTGCGTACCAAAACTTACGTTGAGGGTTTATCAGAAATGGAGTACTCACAATTCCGGCCAGGGAGTGAGTGTCACCTGCTGATCCAGTCATTAATATTGGTCACTATTGACTACGTAATGATAAAAAAAAGCGCCTGTGCTTTCAGGACGCGTACAGTTGCACAAAATATGCAGGCAGGCATCGAACCCCGTGCACGTTGTCGATGTTCCCGAAAACCAGCCGGCAGCCGTCATAACCTCTGGCGATCTGTTCAACATGAGATGACTCCATTCTCACTGCCTACTTGGATGTTCAACCAACTTAGTTTGTAGGGTAGAACTATTTTGATATCTTGGGAAAATGAGGTTAGCCCAACCCCGAACAGAGTTATATAGATGAACCATTACTTTTGTTGTTGAGCGCCTTGGGGGAAACACAAATGGTAGCGATAGATTCCCTTCAGCACCAACATAGGAAACTACACACACCCTATGGCTTTCGAACATAAGGCAACTCTTGGTGGGTGCAGGCTCCATTCTACAAAGCACCTGCCAATGAGCTCCTCGGCAAGCCATTTCCAAAGCTTGCGTGGAGACTTGCTGGCAAGCAGTTCTGGGCCCTGTGACGGGAGACGTCTTAGTTGGTAAAGAAAACCCCGCAACAATGCATTGGCAAGCGGGGTATGAAACACAGTAGAAAAGGTCAACCAAAGATACGGGACGCAGGATTCGAAGACCCGGGACCTGCTACAAATTTCCCACATTGAGGCACGAATTGAAGTCGACCCCCTACCTGTCCCACGCTGAAGCATCGAACTGAAGTCGCGTCTTCTCCGAGCCAGTAACATTCTCACTTGTCCTCAGGACCTACAAACAACAGGTTTTATCTTTTGGGACCTTCACCAAAAAACGCAGACCAACACCTCCCCAACGATCACAAAAGATCCGTTTTGAGGAACTCAGCAATAGAACAGCACCGTCCCAACGTCGGGACCCCCTTTTTTCGCAACTCGCCGAGGCTCTCTCAAAGCCACCGCCGCCCACTTTGTTGACATAAGCGGCTTTCCTCGTGGAGAGACCAACAACTCGCAACTTGCGTCCTTCAAGCGTCTTGAAGGGTGGTGGTTCTCATTTGCAACTCTTTTGAGGTACCTTTCAGTCAAGAAGCGAGTCTTCCTCAACTTTAGAAGACCCCTACTTTGTCCATGAGCACATTGATGAGAATCGGTTTAGGGTGCGTTGGCCCATGTCGGTTTGTCTGTGCATTGACATGGCGTATAGATACACATGGCGATAAGTATATCTTTTTTTCATATCTACATCTATATTTAACATTTGTCACCCAGTTGGAAAACGTTTGTGTATGCGGGTGTGCGGGTGTGCGGGTGTGTGTGCGCGTGTCTGCGTGTCTGCGTGTCTGTGTGTCTGTGTGTCTGTGTGTCTGTGTTTCTGTGTGTCTGGTGTCTGTGTGTCTGTGTGTCTGTGTGTCTGTGTGTCTGTGTGTCTGTGTGTCTGTGTGTCTGTGTGTCTGTGTGTCTGTGTGTCTGTGTGTCTGTGTGTCTGTGTGTCTGTGTGTCTGTGTGTCTCTGTGTCTCTGTGTCTGTGTGTCTGTGTGTCTGTGTGTCTGTGTGTCTGTGTGTCTGTGTGTCTGTGTGTCTGTGTGTATATGTGTCTGTGTGTCTCTGTGTATGTGTATGTGTGTGCGTGTGTGTCCAACTCATGCAAACACACGTGCTTGTGGTAACTATCATCTTTATTAATATGATCAATGTTATTTCATATACAACATGTCATAGAGAAATACACAACACATATAAATGCTTGGGGCTTCTTTGACGCCCGAAGCTTGGCTCAGATTCACAGCAACGCCCTTACCCGAGGCATGGCCAAGGGATGCACGAGGCAAACTCCGCTTACGCAAACGCAGCAGTGGACAAATACAGCAGGATGTTCAACCAACCTCAGGTAAGCAGGCTACTACCATGGTTATCAACCAACAACAGGCAAGTAGGTTATTACCGTGGTTGCTTGGGACGGTTGTAACCTACTTACCTGGCGTTAGTTGAACATCCAAGCAACGGACACCTTACAAAGTCCCAGCCGTATCGCTCTCCAATGCTGTTGTGTAGATTGAGGAACCTCCGGCGGTCCGGATTGCCACTGTAGAGCGGCATGGTACCATCCCTTAGGTTTCTAGCATCATCTGGGTTGACGGCAACCAATTCTGGAGTACAGCTTAACCTGCATTTTTCTGGACAAGCCCTGGTGAGCCATGCTGGACCGCAAAAAGGTGTAGAAGTTGCAAGTTTCTGCCATTCCAAGAGGTCCCAAACAGTACGCTCCGATACTTCAAGCGGCACTGCAAAACCAGAACCAAGATCCTACGGGAGCCTTGGGCTAGCTGCCGTCAAACCCGAACCTGCTTCGTTTGACATCTAAGCAACCATTGAACATGGAAGAGAAAAGCCCGTTCCAAAAAGAAAGTTGTCTTGAAGGAAAGGTCCGTCTTCCATTCTTCTGGGGGTATGATCGCTTGATGGTTTGTCCCAACACACGCGCGCCGGAGGGTTTTCCCTTTTCGGCCTGGGCCGGAGGTCCACGACAAGCAGGCTTTGGGCCTTGCCGTTCCTGGCAGCGGATCGACCCTCCCCCACTGGCCATAGGAAGTGGGTGCCATGGGCTAACTCCACTTTGAAGTTGGGATGGAACCAAACGGAAACCAGACATGGACCGCCTCCCGACCGGCGTTGCGTGTTGCGTCCAGTGTGGTTGGTCTCAAAGTGCTTGAACTAAGTGAAACAAGACTCCAAAGGCGAGTGGGGTGCCTGAAAATTGGGAGGTGGGGGAGGGAAGGAAGAAGGAACTGTTTGGTGCCAATGCGGGGAAACGTGTTGAAAAAGGGGCCTACTAAAACTCAAACGAATGCAAACAGGTAGAGAAAATTGCGGCTCTACCCCCAAAGGCCACCAATCCCTCAGCCTCCAAGCCCCCGCAATGAACCACGAGTGTGGCGTTCCGCGTTGTGAGGGAGTCACCTGGTTTTAAGACAAACAACCGAAAGGACGCCAACCACTTTTCGCTCTTTTTGTTTTGCTGGGGGGCGGGGGGGCGGAATCTTCTAATGTTGAGACAAACCCAAACCAAACAACTGGAACATGGGAGGGGGGGAAGTATTTGAAGCATTGGTCATAATTGTCTATGGCCCTATCCAGTAATGGAAAGTGAGGATTGCTTGCTATACACTAGCTTGATGTCGCGCATGCAACTGTTGTCAATGACTTTTGGGTTGTCCTTCCTTGGGCACCTGTTCTTGGTGGCGTTGAAACGGCAAGCTTGAAAGGAAGTCAGGCATTGTGGATATGTGTGTTCCATGTGAAGAACGAATTTCCAGATAGTTTGCATGGATGTACGGTTAACCATTGGATTGATGTCTCGTCTGATATTCATAAACTGAGTATGTTTCTTCATTTCATGTGTTGAGCGGATGCCGCAGATGTGCCGACTCCCACAAACGAAGATGGATGCACATTTGCTTTGCAAGCCCCGTCCGCCACTTGCTAAGTGGACGGATGGTTCCATGCAAACGGGTATTATAGGTTCGGTTCCTTTGCGCCCCACGGAAGCGACACATCCGAAACACAGTGTCACACGGACACAGTCAGCATAAGTCGCTGCGCATTTGCCTCTATTTGCATGAGTCCCCTGGAAAAAACATACAATTATGTCCAGCACTGATAGATATCCTTCAAAACCAACAGGAAAAAACTAAAAGAAACTTAAGCAAATGGAAGATTGTTGATTGGTAACATAATTGCCCGGCCGACCATGGAAAACGCGCAACATGCGGTGCCTGATCGCGTGCAGCATCTTCTCGTCAGATGGATCGGGCTGCCCTGCGCCGTCAGGAATGACACTTGAAGTCACACACATACACAACCGACAAGCAGTGCCTGCTGACCTTGCAGGTATTGATTCCTCTCTATCTCAGAATACCGTCCTCCCTCAGTTTCCGACTTTGAACTTTGACCACCCTGGCCACATGTTTCCGTACTTGTACCAGTCCACCAGCCGCGCAACAGAAAACCCAGCAAAACCGGCACTAATTACTGTATGTATTGCTTCGTTTAGATTGGTAGCTTGGTGGCGTTTCGGGGTGGCTCAAATCCAAATCAAAACCCATCCACACCACCAATTGTGGGTTACCTGAAGTTAACACCCGCCCAGCGGTCCCCCCACCCACCCACCCACCCACCCACCCACCCACCCACCCACCCACCCACCCACCCACCCACCCACCCACCCACCCACCCACCCACCCACCCACCCACCCACCCACCCACCCACCCACCCACCCACCCACCCACCCACCCACCCACCCACCCACCCACCCACCCACCCACCCACCCACCCACCCACCCACCCACCCACCCACCCACCCACCCACCCACCACCCACCCACCCACCCACCCACCCACCCACCCACCCACCCACCCACCCACCCACCCACCCACCCACCCACCCACCACCCACCCACCCACCCACCCACCCACCCACCACCCACCCACCCACCCACCCACCCACCCACCCACCCACCCACCCACCCACCCACCCACCCACCCACCCACCCACCCACCCACCCACCCACCCACCCACCCACCCACCCACCCACCCACCCACCCACCCACCCACCCACCCACCCACCCACCCACCCACCCACCCACCCACCCACCCACCCACCCACCCACCCACCACCCACCCACCCACCCACCCACCCACCCACCCACCCACCCACCCACCTCCACCCACCCACCCACCCACCCACCCACCCACCCACCCACCCACCCACCCACCCACCCACCCACCCACCCACCCACCCACCCACCCACCCACCCACCCACCCACCCACCCCGCACCTAGCAGGCCCTCCATGGGCTGCGAGCAACGCCAGAGCGAGGCAAAGTCCTTGCTGCACCAGCTCATCGTTGGAATCCGACCTGCCGGCGCCGTTTTTCCGCAGGCGTTGCCTTTGTTTTTGCGGGACGAAAGGTTTCACCATGGTGGGTGTTCTCTTTTTGCTTTGCGGGACCCCCACAAAACTGCGAGTTTTATCCGGTGGTGTCCCAAGACTTGGTTGCTGTTGACTGCATTTTTTCACTTTTTGGGGGTTTATTGGAAAACCCAACTTGATTTCCTAAAAAGAAGTCTAAAGATCCAACCCACTAGCAGTCAAGTGGACTTTGACCCTTGCTCTGCCAAACGGATCCAGAAATCAAAAGGTGATCACCTTTTGCGGCCATGACTCAACATGGACCAAAACGGGGAAACTGAAAGCTCTAAAGGTTGGCCTTGGGCAACTGAGCCTTAGCAAACACTTAGTCTCCTGCTGGCCAAGAGTGGGCTGATTTCTATGACCACTGACATTTGGGTATATAATGACCCTATGCTGAAAAGGGCATGGAAACTCTAGGAACACAAACACACGTGGGTGTCGTTCCCGCTTTTTGGAGGGTGGCTTGTTGTTTTGTGGTAAACCGAAGCCAGCAGGAACACCGACATCCGTTTTGGAGGTCCCCTACAAACGACACACTTGAACATATTGTCATAGCATGGCAACCCCGGGTGTCCTGGAACAAACCGATGGCACTGGCAAACGTAGAACATATTATAACCCACCTGAAAACCAGTGAAATCCAACCAGTTCACCCCAAACCAAAAGTACACCCCTCTTGGTTTCAGTTGAGAACATAACCCAACTTAAGGGGTTCTGTATTTAAAGACAAACCTCGAAGGAGCCCCATGCGGGAACCCTTATATCATTTTTGTCGCTTATTGTCAGGCTTAGCCACTGCTTCTTTCGAGGGTACCCTTTTCAGGTTGGTTCAAAGGGAATCCAACAGAAAGACCACAAGGGGGTCTTTGTATTTTGACGCTTTACCCACCACTCACTGGCCCCAAAGGAGCTGGAAATAAAACCTTAAGCTTTGGGGGCCTTGACTGAAAAAAGAGTCAAATGCGGAAACCGAAAGATCAAAGGTCCGCTTTGGGCAACTGAGACCAAGAAACATATGGCCATGGGTCAAAATCTCGTACCCCCACTAAACATCCCAATCTCAACTAAAATAGACTAAAATGGGTGGTGCACCTACCCCAAAATGGTACCGTTGGTTTTGACCCGCAGCCATGTACCCGTACAAAAGGCTCTCACCAAATCCGCTGACTTCACGCCTCGCTTCCGGAAGCCCGCCACAGCCCGAAGCTGCTCGCGGGAGCAGCTTCGAGGCAGGACCAAAGTAGACGGGTAGGTGTCGCAGAGCTCGTACTCGCCTATTGGTCAATGAAGCTATGGGTGTATGAATGTGTACGAAACTTGGGGGACCCCCAAAATGGTGGTTTTCTTTTTCAGGCTTCCCTTCAAGCCAATCAACTAACAACCACACAGCACATGTGTCAAAACTACACGCCGTTTTGCGTAGAGTTTCAAACGGAAACCAGCACACCAACCAGTAAATTGGTGCATCTAGTCTGACGCATATCCAAGACTGCTGCTTGATGCCTCGATCATTGTGACAAGTACATTTGCAAAGCAAACCTTGGAGAATTGTGATGGTACCATGTTGGCACGTTGAAACCACCACAACATTCAAAAGGGTCCCTCGTGCTTCACAGAGACAGCTAGGTGATCCAGAGGGAGCGTCGGAATCCAGAGGGAGTCCTCCCTGCCAAGGAGTGAGGAATTTCATCTGTCAAAAACCCTCAGCCATGTATCTGCGTTGCGGCTCGGCATTTGGCGCTTCTGGAAAAGGGAACCAAGATCAGGAGCTGATTGGATTCAGGTGGCACTTGCATCTGCCCCGAATATGCCTGCCAACTAACAAATCCCCTTTCTGCGGGTAAGTAAAGGGGGAGACTAAACCAACCTGTCGGAATGCCTTCTTTCACCCAACTTCCAACCGTGGAAATCCCAGAATCTGCAGTTTCTGATTGATTCAGCTGCCCTTCAAACAGCCCCGAAGGGGGGGATCAAGCACGCTCATGTTGTGGCATGGCGCAAACAGAGCGCCTTTGCTATCAAGAACACTTTTTTATATTCTTCAAGGCAACCACTTGTTCTTTGGCGAATGGCGTCCATACTAGGAATGTATATGTCCGACTTTAACCTGCCACAGCCCAAACGAACAAAGGTGGGTCCCCATGGCCCAGAGAGTATGGCTCGAAGGTCTCCCTGCAGCTGGGAAGCTGTTGATGGGACCTGAGTGATGCGTGCCTTGAAACCTCGTGACAACCCCGTTGGAGACCCAAAAACACCGCATGAACTGAAACAATCCCTCAGATGCCCAGTGGCCATGGGGAAAAAAGGGCATCCTTTTTTGGTTGGTTGGCTCTAAAGGGGAACCTTCCCCAAGAAATGAAAAAGGGTGCCACTGGGCAGCTGGGACCCCCAAAAGGCCCTTTTGCTCTTCAACTTCCCCCGTCTTGACCCAAAGATGTGGAATGGGCTCCGATCTCCTACCGTCCCAGTTGCAGTAGAGTGGTTAGCAAAAAAGCGAACCCCACATGGTGTCCTTTGGATTCCAACAAGGAAATCCCCCATTTTCAGAAGCACTCAGTAGTTGAGCGCAGTTGGTGGCGCACTACCGGCCAGAAAAATGTCCTAGGACAATGAGCCAGCACGTACAATCCAAACGCAAAATATGGGCAAGACTTATCATATGCTTCACAAATACAGGCATGCAGAATCAAAGAGAGGGACTTTCATTCTAGGCAAGTAAGCTCGTTGTCACCACCCATGGAGCTCGTTGTGATGTGTGCAATTCCATTACAGCAATCCTTGGCCGGCATTTCAGCTTTCGACTTCCTGTGGCGTCTGTGCTACCGGTGCCTATCCCAATCCCGTTGCTGTATGTGCCTGACTGTGCCGGTTATCCTTGTGTCGTGGGGAGATGGGCCAACACGCGAAACTCCTTTGAAATGCTTGCACCGTCTTGTGCTTTTGAGGCATAGCGGATAGGCTGTGCACCAAGCTAGGCAGACCTTGCATTCGTATAGCTTTATCGACCCACCTGCAATCACGCAACAGTTCTAGTTATATGTTGATCCATGTTACCTGGTTGCTGCATGTCTCAGTGTGGTCAGTCCAACAGCACATGCTGCTTAAGCTCAAGCAAAGACAATCTTGCAAAAAACAATGCTGCCCATGTGGTGCCAAGTCACTGATGAGCCAGGGGCAAGACTCAGTGATGCCCATCCTGTCAGAGAATTCTTCTGTCTTGCCTGCCCCCTGAACAAGACATATTGAACTCTGCAGCTGCAAGCATGGAAGCCCTTTTCCCACCAATCTGTCCAATCGCTGTGCTTGATCACACAGTTGACGCCAGTTAACTGCAAGTCGGACTTCCCGAACATGCAATCACTCCAACAAATGCAACATAAATCCAATGCTTGCTGAGCTTGGTCACACATAGACACAAACATGCGCACACTGCCCGGCAACGCTTTCACCCTTTGCAGCTGCGGCCCGTCCTCTCAAACTCTCGTCCTGAGTACGGGCCAACGACTGGCAGCATGGCGCATGATGTTACGCAAAGGGCACATTGTTCAGCAGTCAGCTTCTCGCATTGACTACTTGACCAGCTGACTACTAGCCTGGCCAAACCATCACAAGGCTAAGACTTCTTTTGTTCCAACTAGCATCTAAATTGAAACAATCTTTGGCATGCCGTGGCTTCAATTTGTCCAGTCCGAATCCTTGGACCCCGTCCGAGTTCTCGAAAACCTCCTGTAGTAATAGATGAACAATAAAACCTATTCCTTTCAGCAAATGAAAGAAGTTGATCTTGTATTCTGCCCCCCACCCACTAACAGTGGATGATGGAAATCTAGATCAACCACCACTAAAATGGTCTTCCAATTTGTGGTGACTGTTAGTGTTTGGGGGCAGGGTCCAAAGTTGATTTCACATGGCCTTCAGCTTTTGAGGCAAGGCGCGAGGATCCAGAAGGGACCAGCCATCTTCCCGGGTTCCCACCGCAGCTGCCTTGGATGGATAACATTGAATCGGGCCGCTTTGGGGCCGGGGGGGGGGGTTCAAATCCCCAAGCCACCAATCTAAAACACAAAATGAGAGTTGCCTCAGTTGTCCAAGACTCTTGTCCATATGGGTGGCTCGTCTTTTTAGGATTCGGACCCCCCCCAAAAAAAATGGAAAAATCGGTGTGGGTTTCCCCAAGCCACGACAAGGGGGTACCCACTTTTGCAAAAAGGACAGACCCATTTTTCACAAGATGTGCGAAACAAACAACTTTTGCAATGCTCAAAGATTTTGATATGACTTTGGTCACTGCAAAGTACCAAAGTAGCATCAGGAAGTCTGAGCCAAAGTGTTGAGCTTTGGTGTTCGCTCAACTTCTGGACGCTGATTTGGAGAGGGCCCTAGTTTTGCACCACGCACAACGCCCAAATGCATCACGTTGCGTGCTCGCAGAAAATAAGAACCAAGTGATTGGTCTCCAAACCTTCCAAAGAGGGGTCCGAGCTCCGTTTGGTCTTGGCTTCAACCAACCCATACCAGCCCAACATGCACCAGAAGTCCTTACCCTCAAAAAGACGTTCTTAACAAACCCATTTGGACTTGATTTGTTTAAACACATTAATTGGGTGGTTGTCATATATATATATATATATATGTATATGTATTTACATATACATATGTATGTAATTATATTGCCCTGATCTGTTTTAGCACCATTGATTATGCTGAAAACCCAGTGCACAAACCCAATGCTGAGTGCAAACATCATCAATCACAACATTGTAGGTGGGTTGATGCTGCTCTGGAGATAACAAATGGCAGTACCAACTCCATGCCTACCTGATGGAACTTTGCAAGATGCTACACATGGGCAGACTCCGAACACCAAGGCGTTTGGCACACACGTTCGCCCCTGGCGCGTCAACTCCGTCCAGTCCAAGAAGCGTGTGGGAAGGCAAACAGAACCTGCAAAGGGAAGACGCTGGCCGTCTCGATTCTTCGGGCGAGGCAACCATAACAAGTGGCAAGTTGGAACACAGCTCTCGACAGTCTGGCAGCGCTGGCTGTTGCGGGAATTCCAGCCAGCAAAGACACCTATGTCTCAAAGAGGTTCTGCATGTTTGGGCTGATGGCTGCATGTCAAAATACCTTCGTGCTTTACAGCTACCGGGTGACCAACGCAAAAACCAATAGACCGCTGAGCAAACTAGCTGTCCCCTCCAAATTCTTCAGTTCCTTCCATTTGGATTCCCCCGAAAGGCTCTATTCCTGAGACACACCTGCAAGGCCATGAGTTCTATTTGCGGCCACCTTGGTGGACATCGTTTCCATGGCCATATCTGAGATGGTCAAACATCCCCCGCACAGGTCATGGCTGCCTAATCCTTCAAATTTATAGCCCTATGTGCGACGGACAAAGGTCTTGGTCAGGTCGTTGTCTACATCGAAGTCCTTATGGCTGTTTGCATCTCAAAGGTCAACCACCCCCATTCCCATTTGAGTCATAATCAAGATCCGGTCTTAAAATAGTCGTAATTTCAGAATCATGCTTCCAGAATTAAGAAGGCGGATATGTTGGAGCTATTTCTGGTTGGGACTGCCGCTGAACCGCAATCTACCCGGGTTTTGGCATTTGGGCATTTGGGTATGAATTTTTAATTGGGGACCCTTTGGTGGACATGTAGGGCATTTATGTCCGCCAACCACTTTTGAGGGGGTTCCAACCCTTAAAATTCATAGCCATTTGGCCATGGGTCAAAATCCAAATCGTACCCCAATAAAACATCCCAATCCCAACTGAAACAGGCTCTAAAATGGGTGGTGAATTCACCCACCAACCAAAATGGGATCCCATTGGTTGTGACAACGGCCATTTGGTCCCCTGCGACCAGTCCCCCGAAGCCCCGAAGCCCCGAAGCCCCGAAGCCCCGAAGCCCCGAAGCACCGAGGCCCGGGTGGGCGAAGGCCTGGGTGAAGTTGGCCCCGGGTTGGCTCAGCGCCACCAGGGCTTCCTCCACCACTGCCAGGTCCTACGAATCGAAGCGTTACACGAAACGGGTGCATTCCCTGGGATTTAAGCCACCACTACAACCATGGGTTTTATATATGCGTGTATATATATATACATACACATGCACGTATGTATATTATATGTATGTATATCGACCATGAGCTATCTAAGGATTGTCATCACCTAAATTGGGTCAACCATCATTTCAAAAGGGGGTTGAACCCTAGCTCAATTTGTCCGATGAACTATGGGGACATTGCAACTACACACATGAACAATCATACCCTAAAGCAATGGCATAACAACTGCAAGGCTTGAGTAGCATGGGTTAAAAAGGTTCAGTGCCTGAATCAAAAAGGGCCCAATTATGCCAAGGGAGCACAATTGTGGCGTTCCAGTTCCTCCAGCATCAGCTAATCCGAGTTCCGTATTGAAGGCTAAATGGCCCTATTCTCCTCTGACTGGCAGGCGTGCTCGACATCATGCTTTCCTTGCTCCCAGGGCGCCACGGCCATCAATGTCGTGTTGTTCTGAAACAAACAATGCCACCCGCATACAGCTATTCCATGTCTGTGCTGCTCACATCTCCCCAGATCTTCCCAAGAGGCCTGGCACATACCATGTTGGCCGGAAGGGTGCACAGTTTACTCTCCGTATACACATATATATATATATTATTACATAACCCCCAAAAATAAACAAACGAGAAAAAAGGGTCCACTCTCCTCAAAAAAAAACATCAACGCGCGTGCAGAGGGCTTCGGAGTTGCGTCCTTGACCTCCGAGACCATGATCACCAAGTGTCGGAAGTCCTGAAAGACGATGCAGCAGATGCGGGCCAGTGGGGGCCGGTGGGTCACTAAAAGGGCGATGTGGCAGTAGGCGATACAAAATCCTGAAGGACGTTGCAAGCAAAATCAGTGTGAATCCACACAGGTATACTCCCAAAGCAGGGGTCATTGGATTTCCCCTCCAACAGTTGCAATTTACTGGTGCTGTCCACAGAAACTTCAACTTTTGGAGGTCCAATAATGGAAGTGGAGGAAACCTGCAAAATCAGTGCATTGTCCCAACTTTTGGAGAGAGATTGTGCGTCAATGCCGCTCAGCCCGCATAAGCATCTATCAAAATACTCCAGAGTAAGGGTCCGAAAAAGAAAGGCTCGGTTGGGCGCCCTTCAAGTAATCCAACCTTACGACAGGAAACCTGGCATTTCTATGGGTCGGTTTATGCCCGCAGATCCCGACCAACGAATTTGCAGCATGCCTCTGAGCTCCTTGGGGCCCAAGTGGGGTGCTTTGTTGATGTCATCCTTTCGGGAATTGTAGGGCGAAAGGCATACCACCCATTCTGCGGTGCTCCGTTGTTTCAAGACTAACCGAATTGGGGAACTGTCAAAATTTACTTAGTATCCTTGACCCTTCCAAATGTTTGCCATTTGTTGGTGCACATCACGGTCAATCCCCCAGATCTACGTTCAACGCATTTTGTCAGGTTACCGGGCGAAGTTCACGCCTCAAGATTCTGCATGGTTGGAAATGGCAAGCCCTAAACTTGTCCTACCTACTACTAATCGAGACCTTGCTTTTGCTTGGATGTTCAACCAGCTTAGTGGGCGTAGGTTGTAACTATGGTTATCATAAGTTATAAGGGGACTAACTCTAGTTTGTTACCCAAGTTTAACCAGTGTTATAAGCTACTTACCAGACGTTGGTTGATCAAACGACTACACGACCCACAGGCACCAAACCACCAGCGCCCATGTTGGCTGGAGACGTGGAGGGGGCAGCCGCTCCTTCGTGATGATGTTGAGCCGCCACTGCTGGACGCCAGCCTGATACAAAACACGTGGCTGTGGGTCAAAAATTGGTACCCCAAATGGAACCCTGGTAAGTGGAAACACGGACTAAAACCTGCGGTCCCCTAGTCGTTTAATTTTGGCCCACACCCACGTAAAGTAGATAGGTCTTTTGAAGGGATTGGGGATGCACCTGCCTCGCTGAAAGGAGTTTCTCGAATGTTTGACAGTTTGGGGACCAATGCGCAGCTGATTTGGATATCAACTGCTGGGCTGCTGAAGTGCAATGGCTTTCACTTGCGACAAGCGCTACTCCATTTACGTTGGATCAAACCACTCGCTCGCAGGTCCCAAAGACTGGGGGTTTGATAAAGTCCTGTTCAGTCCCACAATGTGTGGGTGGGACTCAATGCAGTAGTCATCTAAATCAAAGCTGCATCAGCAATTCTACAAACAGACGTAGTTCGGCCAATCTCTGCCAATGATTTTCTTCCCCATTATGGCCATCATGTTAAATGAATCTGTTCACGCATCGGAGACACATGGATCATCCCTGGTGGCATGCAACAGGATATGCCAAAACTCGTTGGATATCCTCTGACGACAATCTTGAATCTGGATGGCTCCCGTAACCTTACCCTGGCAAGGGTCGTCCAAACGATTGATAGACATTCATCCGCAAATGCTGCCCCAAGGGTCTTTTGCCAACTGAACCTTCCAAGCCAGCTCTTCATCACCCCGGCGCCAACCCACAGCCCCCCCCCCCGACGTGGTGGACTCGAAGCCTCCGACGTGGTGGACTCGAAGTCCAACTTCTCCACGAGGCCCAGCGGCACGTCGAGGAGTTGGCGCTCCGCCACCCTCAGAGGGACTGGGGTCGGACTGGGGGGGGGGGGGGCGGGGACTGGGGGGGGGAAGGCGCCGAATTGGTGGGAACTGGCGATGACTCAAGTGGTCGAGTTGCAAGCCTCGAGTTGGGGCAAGGCACCAACAAAGAAAAGGCGAACACTGAAGCTTGAAAGCTTAAAAGTGTGTCTTTAGGCGAGTTCGGGTTGGTGGCTTGGGAGGAAGCACGGGGTACTGTTACTCAGTTGTATCTCCGGCAAGGAGCACTTTTGGACCCCAGGGTGAGATCGAAGGATTCATATGTCAGGTGCAAAGCTATGTTGCACGTCCAAACTACAGAGATACAGCTGACATGGTGGGTGGCATATGGAACTCCAACTGTTCGACAATCAAATTGGGCTATGCGCTGGAAACCGGTGTGGCGAGTGCCTTTTTGCCCAAAGCAAGGGGGGGCTCAAATTACGCCGTGAGGCAAAACCCCTTCAGTCCTTGAGTCCTGTGCTAACAACCAAGGGGTGCCTCAGATTGCCACCAGCTGAGGTAAAACTAAAACCGCAGTACTCAGTCCTCGAGTTTCTTGAAGGCCAAGTCCCTTTCCTTTTGGTTCCAAGCTTCAGCTAGGCCGCGGCTCGCGCAGCCAGGCGTAAAATAAGCTTGCCAACGGACCAATGGGATCTCACCTACCAAATGCAAACAAAGTGTACAAAAGCGAAACAACAATCATAGTTTCTCTTTGACCAAAGTGCAAAACAAAAACCAACAAAAAACAAGGAACCCCTGCGCCGCACGAAAAACACAAATACAAAACCGAAGAGGTGTCTCCCTTCAACTCGGTCCCATCTCCCAGACGAAGCTCCCATCCCAGCTTTGAGGCCGGGGCCATGCAAGGTTGTCCTTCAAGGTGCCTTTGGGCACTTGGAAGCGCATCCGGTATCTGGAGATCAGAAGCCGGCCCTGGGCTGAAAAGGAAGCAGTTTGGAAGCATACCCGGGTACAGGGGAAAACACTGCACCTGGGCCATATACCGACCTGATGTCTGGTTTATCAACATAACTCGAAGCCATTGGGGGCATGACTGGCACTCCCTCAAGAATAAGGTGGAGAATGGGGGCAATCTGTAAAGCAATCGTTGTCTGTAGGCCAGATTCTACATTCAGAGTACCTTGCGGAAAGATAGGAAGTTGCACGGGGCTTTGGCTTTAGCGGGGGCTTGATTCAACATGCTGGGCAAATTAGGATTTGGCTTATGGTCAGAACGATTTAAGGTTCAAGAATTGGTTTCGAGCCATCGCATTTAGGGTTTAGATGGGTTTAGGCTTGCGTTTTAGGGCTTAGACTTCGTGCTTTTCAGGTGTAGGTCCAACACGGATTGGCTTTCAAATTTTGATTTAGGGTCAACACAGTTCAGGGTTTAAGTTTCGGTGTTGAGGTTCAGGTCAACACGGATTTGGGCATGAAAGACCGCAGCTGTGATCGAGGAATCACACTCGACCACGAATCCAAAGCCACACTCTACCCCGTAAGTGCACTCTGCTTGACCCATTGAGTGCAATTTTCAAGTGAAGATGCTTGCCAGCGCCTTTAGGAGGAAAATGCACCATATGCAATGAAGTGGCCTAGTATCAACCACTGGGGATCTGAGACCTTCCTCTGGATGTCCTGGATCAATCAGTCGGTCAATGGTGAGCAGCTGGGACATGAAATCCAGTTTAGGGCAACCACCTGCCAATCACGCAGTTTGCCACCCCTGCTTCTATTGCCAACCCTGCTTTGGATCGCTCGCTTTGAGAAGTCAACTGAAAAAGGAACTATGCGTACGAGATGCCAAAGCTGGAAATGTCCTCTCAATGATTCCCAAACCTTAAGGGGCTGTTACCTAGTTTTCCCCACCAAAAAAAGCCAGTGAAATTCACATGGGTCTTTACCATCCCCAAATTCATCTTTGCCATATTGAAGGGAGGCGCCTGCAACTCGCGGAACGGCTTATTGAGGAGCAGCACCGCCGGGTTGATCGCGTAATGCACCTCGAACGTCTGCAAGCTATGCGAATCCATTTCCAGCAAGCAAGTGGTCTGCGTTTTCTATGGTGCAGTCCGAGAAAGGCTGGTGAGGGGGGACGCAAGCCAGCAGCGTCAAGGTTTGCAGACCTGGTGGTTTGCGTCTCGATCTTGGCGTAATGTATGGGGGACTGAAATCAGGGCAGGGCAGAACATGCTGCGCTATCGATGGAGTGCTTGACTGGGGCGTCTTTCATTTTTGGCCTCCTGCGACTAACAAGCAGTGATCACGAGTACATCTCTCACCACTAAGCATTCCCGTGGCTGGAAGCTGTTTGTCTACGCGAAGCACTCGGGGTCGAAATGTTTCGCCGGCGAAAAAGAGTTTGCAATTTCCGGGCTGCTCAAACCCCGGCCAACACGCGCGGAGATCTTGGCCAAACACATGCGCGCTTGATTCAAGCTGGGGGACCTTCCCAAAGCTTGGGGCTGTGCTTTGAGGCCGCAAATCTCTACTTTCAAAGCTTTGATGGAGACCACACTCCAATGTCACCGCGATGGAAGCGGCTATCCACAGGACGCAGGGATCGCCCCCCTGGAATGTGTTGTTTTTTTCCTAAAATACGAACCAAAAGAGACTCCACCATGTTGAGAAACTCTCACATTCTTCAACCATTGGCTTCCCTTTTTAAAACAACCCAAACAGGGTATCTTCAAAAATATGAACCCATCTTGCCGCCACGGCTCCATAACCCCCCCGCCCCCCTAACACCGCCAACCTAATAACCCTACGGCCGCTGGGTCTTGAACCTGCGCAGCCCCCGCCTTCTCCCCTGGCAGCATATCTTCAAATCCTCAGCTTGAAAGGGCCAAAAAACCGGATCCAGATGCTGCGACTCCTTGCCATTCGGCACTCCGATGGCTGTACGGTGACGCCTACATTCGACATGCGCTGAAAGGGCTTTGCAACTCCCTCTATTCAGCCTCAACGGTGAGCGGTGAGTTCATGCTGGTTTCACTTTGAGTCGTCCACACTGTTATAATGACCGCTCCGTGCGCGCTTGCCCCCGCTAGCAGAACATGTGGCCTGTTGCCTTGTCATTGTCAAAGTCAGCCATTTTTGGTAACAGGGCAAAACGCGATCCAAAACTGGCTTTGATAACCGACGGCCCCTACCTTGCGGGGAAGCAGGGTGGAAGGTTCCGCCAGCTCCTTTTATCAAGTCTCCACCCACCCCCTTTTCCGGGAAGTCACCATGATACCACTGACATCCTCTCATACTATATCCCCTTCAAACATCACGCAATGGAAACTCATCTTAGCGGCCCAAAAATGTAAATCTCCCCCCTCCGCAGAACAAAAAGCGGGAAACTGTTGAAATGGCCTGAAAGGTGGTGTTGCAGACATCGCCCGCTGGGCGATAGCAAACGGCCCAAGGGGCGGATGTCCAATGTAGGCCTGTCCGCAGTGGGCCGCATTGGGAGCTTCTGGAACTCGCAGCGAGTCCCGGAGCCCTCGGCGCGATATCTACCGGATCTCGGATGGAAAAACCGGGTGGGGGTGGGGTGGGGGTGGGGGTGGAGTCTCCTTCTGACCCAAATCACAAATGGGGCCTGCCGCGACCCCTTTCTTTTGGGCAATGACCTCATTTTTGATTCGGGTCATGGCACCCTTTGTTGGTGACCTTAAAGGCAACGTCCCTCACAACAAACAACTGCTGGAGCTCTTAAAAACGTGGGAAATGTGGCCGAAGCAGGACCTCAACAGATTCTGGTTTTGTAGATGCTTTGTATTTCAACAAAAACACACGAAAGCAAGCAATCCATCAAGCAAGCAAGCAAACAAACAAACAACAAACAAAAAAACACAGCACCAACACAGCACAAACACAAAGTGACGCAAAGAAGCACAGCTACACACACACACATAACACATGAAAGCAAGCACACACACAGACACAGACACAGACACAGACACAGACACAGACACAGACAAAGACACACAGAGACACACAGAGACACACAGAGACACACAGAGACACACAGAGACACACAGAGACACACAGAGACACACAGAGACACACAGAGACACACAGAGACACACAGAGACACACAGAGACACACAGAGACACACAGAGACACACAGAGACACACAGAGACACACAGAGACACACAGAGACACACAGAGACACACAGAGACACACAGAGACACACAGAGACACACAGACACACACACAGAGACACACAGACACACACACAGAGACACACAGACACACACACACACACACACACACACACACACACACACACACACACACACACACACACACACACACACACACACACACACACACACACACACACACACGCACGCACGCGCAAACCTCACACACACCACACTCATTCTCAGGCCCTCCTTCATCATCAAGTTCCCTCTTCATCAAAAAGGAACACACAACCACACAAGCAAACAGAAACAAGCAAAAACACAAAAACACGTGCGCAAGCGCACACACGCACACACGAACACATGCACATACACATACATAAACAACATGCAACCACCAAACACACTCAGAGAAACACACAACACCACACTCAACACAGAACCAAGCAAGCACAATAAACACGCACACACACACACAATTCACACATCAAGCACACAAACACGCCCAAACAGGAACACACACACACAAACACGAAATCCCACACACTTATACACACAGTTAATTACAAGCAAGCACAGAGACAAACACAAACCAAGACAAACACACAAGCACAATTACAAACAGACACAAACAAGGCAAACACAACTCCCAGAGACATGGAGACACATCCTTGCCAATACATAAATACGTACACACACACACAATCGTACACGCACACATGATACACACACACACACCCACCCGTGCGCCACGCCATCCAAATATAATCTCAAATACACATTAATATGTGTATATACATAAATAGTTTAGATACAGACATCAAATAGCACACATACATGAATACAGAACATTGAACATATCACATAAAACAACGACAGCACAACACAATGAATGAAATCACACAACACATGCAGCTATAGGAAACAAATCAATACATGTACAACCATATTCAAAGAGTAAAGCTAAATAAAGACACAAGCACATGACTGATCCACTAAATCAACATACAAATCGATAAATCAAAAGCACGATACACACAGCACGTAACGCACAAAAAAACAAAAACTACACACAACTGCAGCAGGAGCAAACTAGATGCACACATGAAAACATCAATGCAGTACATCACTGAATAAACAAGACACCCATAAATATATAAATGCATGCATCAAGGAATACATAAAGACGTACCAACACACATAAAGAACAACATAACACACAAACAAATACTGAACACAATCAAGGACAAAAGCAAACAACAAAATACCAACACAACCCAATCACTCAACATATTCAGAGATCATTGCATCACGGAACAGTTAGTAACTTAACATATTCAAGATATACAGACCAAATATCATAACTTCAGATACTCATATTACTTCCCTACAAAATCACATGGAACCCCAAACGGGCAACCCCCAAAAAGGGGAGCCCTTTCTCTACAAATAAGTAGTGGTTTTGTGGGTTCCATGCCATGTTGTTTGTTTTTTTATTAGTGTATTGGGTGCATAGCTTGAGATGCTCATACTACCTCCCTACAAATTAACATGGAACCGGGGGTATGACTAGTGCCGAGAAAAAAAAATGAAGAAAAGAAACAAAAACACTCTCTCTAAGCGTCTCTTCCGTCCCAGCCGTGCCTGGCTCGTCGTCAGCTGTTCTGCCGCCTCCTGCGCTGCGGTCCAGCCGGTCTTCAAGTTGTCCTTGGAGTCAGCGACACGGCAACTCCACAAGCCATGGTGACTTGCTGGATATCGGGGAATGAGGGATAGGGTCCTGATCCACCGGGCTTTGCGCGGGGATCTTTCTGTTTTTCTCTGAGAACCTATAGAAGAGGTGTGCTCTTTCAAAGGGTAGTTTGATTAGATGGCACTGGTTTAAGCATTTATCAGGATCATCTAGTTTTCCAAAAGTTACCTCTGGTGATGACCAGCAGGAGCACAGGTGTCCTTGTTTGGTTTGACTTTTTTTTGTTGAATCTACCAAGGCCCTCTACTTCATGGACCCCTAAGCGGGGCTATCCCTGGATAAGCCTAGGATAAGCCAAGGATATGCCCTTAGTAAGGCTTTCAGGGGTTAATAAGGGAGTTACAGCAGCTGTTACGCCTCCCCAAGGGGTTGCAAGCGTCCTCTAATTCCTCTATGGTGGACGAGGCATGCTTTTGGGTCTTGCCAGGATTGAAAAGTGAACGGATCTGGAGATGTACCAATTTGACAAAGGTTGCCCATGCATTCGCCAACTCACTGGGCTGCCAAACAAATGCGCCAACACTATGGGCATCCGTATCTCACGAACAAACTGCTGGCAAAGAATCATCTGCCGCAGAGCCAACACAGCTGAGAAACCGACATCGCATGGCAAGTTCAGGAAGGAATTGAACTAGCAAATGAAAGCTATAAGTCCTTAAGGAACAATCAGTTTCAACAATTGTCGCTGGCTAGGCGCCGATGCGCCAAAAGTGTATCCTCCGGGAATCCCAGGAATGATGGTTTAGACACTTCCTTTGCCTAGGCGGACACCACCAAGATTGGCTAAGACTTGCAGACTGAAACTTTAGCACTCGCCACTTACCCCACCTGCGTGTGGGTCGGTGCCTCCCGCAAAGGCCCAAAGCCCGGTCCTGCAGACCATGCACGGTTAAACTAAGACGGGGTGAGGCTGTTGTCCATCCCTCAAGAATTCAAGAAACGGCCGCCTCTCACCATCTGTCATGTGTGATTCTCAATGAGCATGCGCCATGCGAACCAGCGCTGACTGCCCTTCGAAAGGGAACTAAAGGACACTTTGCGGGGATCCGGGGCAACAAGCGCCAATCAATATAATCAATATGAATAAACCATGCTCAATAATACCATTCACAAACACCATGATGATGAGAACAGGAAACAAGAGAAACATCGATCATGCCCAGCCATCCATCGCCCAAGCACGCCCGCTGTACAAAAGATGCCGAGGCTCTTTGACAACAGAGCCGACCTGCCATAGCGCACCTGCCGGGGGGGGGGGGGGGATCAAACAACTCTGAATCGGCAGGGTCGCAACATGCCACCATACATGCATCATTGCTTCTACATGCACATAATGTACATACACAGGTCATGTTCATCAACACTTTAATACTTCAATCAATTCAAAATACACTACAAATCTATGCAAATATATACAAAGATACGTGCATTGAATGATGCCTTAGACAACAAGGCACAACAGCATAGCAATTGCGCGAGTTAGACACTAGCAAGCTCCATTCGCTGCCACTAGGAGCATCCAAGTTATTTTGGTTATCCTGCGAATAACACTTCATCAACTCCCCACCCGTTCATTCACTCAACCAGAAATCGCATCAACACGTGTACTCTCATAGGCAATCAGAGCGGTCTTGAAATCAAGCTCTGGTGGTCCTCCAGAATCCAAATCGTTTAGTGAATGCCCTCTAACCCTAGCATGCCTCAAACCGTTGCCGGCTCTGCAGCGCATTGCAACTGGCTGAAGGTGCACGTTTCTGTCGAGCTGACAAACCTAAGCCTGTTGGGTGACCCAAATGGGTTTTAGCGGATGGGTTCTAGGATGCTCCACACATGATTGTCCGTTGGTACAAGCTGGAGCCCATTCCTAAAGAACAAGGGTAGGGTCCCCTGAGTGTGAAAATCAGTTGCGAAACAACGGGTTTTGAGCTATGCAGACCCCACAAGATCCCCTTGCCCCACTGCCAGGGCCTAGCACAGAGGCAGAGGAGGTGTCTCTCGGTTGCCTGCGCCGAAGGAAGTACTTCTAACCATCTGCTCCACCGGCAAGCAATCATGGAGACTCATATCATCCCTCCATCTCTCTTACCATAACACTCGCGTTGTAGGAGTCTCAGAGCAAAGCGCAAATGCCTTCTGAAAAGAATGAAACACTGCTGCACATCAAGAAAAAAACAAATACGGAAATGTGATCAGTATGCGTCAAAGCTAGGGGCTTGCTGGTCCATGTCGCAATGGGAACCAGTATGACATCACCCATTTCGATTGGTCTCAAGTGGCCCGTTGGCAAGGCACTGCAAAAAAGTATCACCGAACATCCGTACGCCGATAGGATGGGCTTCAATCAAATTAACATGGGCACGTCTTTTTTGAGGGTACCCTGCTTTGGGAATTGAGCCATGGTACAGCCATGGGAAAAGCTTTGTGTTGCAAACCTGGATCTTGCGACCCAAACACATTCCGAAATTCTTAGGGTTTCGCAGCCTTTCTGTGGTACCGTCTGGAGACCGTCCTTGCGAGGGGAAGGATCTGTGCCTTAAAATCGGGTTCCCCTGCAACCAACAAGCAAAAAAGTGGTTTCCTCATGTCTTCACTCGAATTTCCCGAAAATCCCCTTTGCTTTCCTTTCCCCATCACACATCATCCCTCGTTCAGGCCGCCAAAAAACGCCGAAATCCCGCCCACTTCGGCCGAACGCTTTTCGGCCTGGGCTCGGCGGGCCGGGCGGCGGCCACTGGCAAGGAAAACGGATCCTGCGCAGCTCGCAGCGCGCTGGCACAGAGCTTTTCCTGGCAACTCCCTGCTTGGATGTCCCAGCAACTTTGTATAAGTAGGTTACAAGCGCACTTGACATGATGGCTCCAACTCAAAATGTACATGAATCATGGTTTTAACTTGGCGAAGTGGAGTTGGTCTCCTCGTAAGCGTAGTTATAACCTATTTTCTAAGTTGGTTGAACGCACTACCCGAGCCCAGGGGAGTGAAACGCGTTGAAAAGTCAGGAGCAAACTTCGAGATAGCATGATATATCATAGAAACTGACGTGCGGGCTCCCGTTCAAAGGGCATGATATATCATGGAAACTGACGTGCAGGCTCCCGTTCAAAGGGGCTCTTGCAAGCTTGTCCAGAAAAAGAGCACAGTCTGGGCCTTGTAATTGAAATAACCTACCATCGCCCACCTGCTCACCAGTCCTGGGTAGCAACGCCATTGAATGTATACATATATATATATATATATGTATGCATATTATATATATATACATTCAATGGTGTTGCTACCTATATATATATATATACTTGTCTTGCTATTGTTCGACAGTTGAAATCGCTGATCCGCAACCACGGTGACTCGTTGAGGCTGAAGCTGCGTGACACTTCGCCGCTCCCGGACCGAGAGAGCTCTGTTTCTGAAAGCCAGCACGCTCGCAGCAGATTGGTTGGTGAAGAGCTCTGTGCTTTCGAGGAAAAATAACCTCGGAGGATCTGAGATCTTCCCATGTCCACTTTGTGTTTCGCAAAGCACTCAAGCCCAGCATGTCCATGCCTTGACTGGGCTGTCCTCAGATTGCTCAAAGTTTGACTTGTGGGTTAAATATGGAAACCCAACCGCTAAACCAACCAAACCCAAAAACAACGGCGAGACTCGGCCCCGCTTCCGGACCCCCAAGCGAAGAAGCGCTCCGAAGCTGCGCTCCGAAGCTGCGCTCCGAAGCTGCGCCTCTGCCACCGGGGCGGAGAAAGGGTCGCCCGCGGAGCCGAAGGTCTTCTTCTCCACCTGTCAGCAACCGATCCACTTGTGGCTCAAAATTAAGCAGGGGTTACGCAGGTTTTGGTCCATGTTTCCACTTACCAGGGTTCCATTTGGGCACATTTTTCTGAGCCACAGCCACTTGTCAAGGACAAGTACCTTGAGCCACAAAATGGAGAGACCTACAGGTGTGGGTCAAATTATACCAAGGGCCCGTAGGTTTTAGTGGTTCCATTGACATTGGTGTTTCCTTTTGCAGAATTGACAGGCGTAGTAGAGGTATGGGTCAAACTAGGCGGGACCGCCAGGTTTTAGTCGTTTCCGTTTACCAGAGCAAACCATTTTCGAGACGTATTTTTGACCCACAACCTTGTCTGGTTTCCTTGTGGTGACGAGCGCGGCTATTTTGCATGGTATGAAAGAAATATCACAAGCCAGTTGCGCAGCGACACTGATAGAAAAAGGGGAGACGTTTTGCATTAAGCGTCTCCAGTGGGGAACCTACAAGCGAAAAGAGACAAACACAAAAAATACACCAATAAATTGGAGAAGCCCTCAAGTGTTAGACAGCCGTAAAGCCTGTCTTGTCAAACCTTGAGCGGAGCATTCAGGTGACAGGCGTTCTCTTCCCCACCCACAGTCTCCTTTTTTGGCGAGTTTCGTACGGAAAATCGCCATAGAAAAGAAAAGAAGGTAAAGCCCGCTGAAGCGAGGCTTAATGCCAACGAACGGACTGGCCCAGCTCCATCTTCACATCAAGAGTTTGCAAGCAACAACTGCATGACACCCTAAATCCTCGCAAAACACGAAGCCCACTGAATGATTGTCGCTCCATTGAATTTCTTGCCCCGGCTTCTTTGAGAAGCATAGGTGAGGTCTAGTCAACCACATCCATGGAAGATACCCAGGCTGCCCCTATTTTTCCTCGACAGAGGCAGGTATGAACCCTTCAAGAGATTTGTTGGGGACCCTTACTCCCGGCACGAAAAAATATGGTTCTCATTTCAGCAGACTCAGCCGTGCTTGGCTTGCTGATCTGAAATCTCCAGACAGGTCCCCGACACAAAAAAGATAAACACGCCCCGCACTTGTGTCGTCCCAACCTGTGGAAATCTCCTGGGGCGTGAAGTTCGAAACCCGCCTCTGTGGCTAGCATCCGGATCTGCTCATCCGGACCGTCACCCAAGCCGCTGCCAAAAGTGGCCTGAGCAAAAGGATTTCAGCGGCTGCCTCAAACAGGCGAAGCCCCCAAATCAACCTCCCTCAAATTGGTGGTTTGGAGGTGTTTTGCGGTGGTTTCTCATTTACCATCTACAAGAACCTGGGTTCAAATCCACAAACCATCAATGCTAGCCACTAACTACGGGTTGCCTGACCAATTTTCTTTGGTGTCCTTTTCGGTTACCTTGGAACAAAAAGCAAAGCGGAAAACCCCCACCAAATACACATAGAGACAGTCGCAAAAGTGTGTTTTAAAGCAAGCATGGAAGCTCCCTGCAAAACATGACTGCTTTCATGATTGTTTGAGGGCAATAATACATAACTTTGCATGTGTTGGAGGCCGGATCGCTTTTAAAATGGAGAGCGAAAGTGGATCATTGCTATATCCAAGTTGAGCAAGACCAGCTGGACGAAAACCTACAAACCACAAGCCATCCACTTGAGGAAGACTGCGCCGGTTCCGATCTGGGCACTGCCCAAGCGTGCGCAAGCTATCCACTCAGAGCCCCACCCCCCGCCCCACCCCCACCCCACCTCCGCACCCCCCACCCCACCCCCACCCCCCACCCCTACTTGTTTTAGGTGGATTGAAGAGTCCAGACCAAAGCGCCGGCCTGGAGCTTCCAAAGGGCGTCTCGCACCCCGAAGACCTGGCGCAGCTCGTGGCAGGCCTTCGGGTCGTAGAGCAGCCTGACATCGGGGGAGGGAGTGGAGGGGTGGGGGTGGGGTGGGGGTGGGGTGGGGGTGGGGTGGGGGTGGGGTGGGGGTGGGGTGGGGGTGGGGTGGGGGTGGGGTGGGGGTGGGGTGGGGGTGGGGTGGGGGTGGGGTGGGGGTGGGGTGGGGGTGGGGTGGGGGGTTAGGAGTGACTTACTCCCCATATGCATGGAACTGCCAAACCCCGATTTGGAAAAAGCGAGGGAAGGGGGTAATTTTAGACTTGGAAACTAAAGAGAAAGCCCCAGGGCTGAACTCACAAGACGGCCGTGAGTGAGAAAACAAGAGGCCCATAAAATCCAAACATGGTGGACTTGTCTTGCGAGGGAATCCTCATGGAAAGTGCCCCTTTGGTTTCTCAGCTTCCCCCAAATGGGGTTTGGACTGGTCTCTATAAGAACCAGGGGTTCAAATCCCCAAACCACCGACCAAGGGCCACCTGGATGTCCATTAACGGCAAACAGGTTCACCACTACACACCCCGAGTACCTCTCATGGGAACTGATGTCCATGAATCCATCCGTCCCCTCCTCCATGCCGTTTGGCCCACAACACCATGTTGTAATGCGGAAGCAGGGCTTCGCTGGTTTGTCCATCAGCTGGCTGAAAACCGCCATGGCATCATCCTTGTTTTCAAATCTCATGACAATCCTTCAAGCAACGCCACAGGGGGCTTGAAATCTAGATGAAAAACAAATTCAAGCCCTGGAGAGCCAGTAAGCGAGCCTTGACACAACCCAATTCTTCTGCTCCCTCACTTTTGAGGAACGGCCTCCCCCCTTTCCCCCTATTTGAAGACAAACCAACACAACACAACATGACGTTTAACATATAAGTGACAAACTCGCCCCACAGGCATGGTGGTACTTGTCTAAGCTCAAACATACATGCAAACCACAAGGTTTGGTAGCCAATGGTTTTCTACTTTGAATAGTAATTGCTTTGGGTCTAACGTGCGGCTTTCCCTGCTTGCATCAAAACATTGCACGCCAGCTGCACTGGCTTTTCAGCAACCATGCTTCCCGCAGCTTCCCGGGAATAAAAACGCAAGCTGCTACGTATGCGCCAGAGCTCCCCCCTGCTCCGCTTCCATATTTGTGAACGGAAGCAACTTGCTTTCATATAAACGACCCGCATTCACTCCCTATAGTATCCATGACAAATGAGCTAACTTTCCCCAGTGAAATCCTTACAATCACGAGACACAGCTTCCTCAAACCTATCTCCAGCTGTCCAAAGGAACCCCCCGTGCCAGGCAGCTCGTTCATGATGGTCAGCGCCTGGCCAGCCGCAGAACAGAGGCAGATGAAGTGATTCCCCATTAAGAACAACCCAAATTGGTATCCTCCAAATAAATCCGAAGCCAGTTGACCTTCGGAGCTTCAAATACCCAAAGTGTTCATACCAACAACTCAGTGATCTTGGGGAACACTCCATGTCGTTCGATTCGCGCATTTCAACATGTTTCTTCAAGGCATGATTCTATTTTGACGCACCATTTATGCATGGTTGGAGCCAAGGGTAAAATACGGGTTTCCACGGGTTTACCACCGGTTTGCTGCAGGAACATGCATTTTGGCCTAAGGAAAGGTTGCAAACCCATCAAACGCCATCGAAACCTGACTATTGGGGCTGATTGGAGCCCTTTTGCTTCCTCCGGTCCAAGCAATTGGATACAAACTGCAGCCGCATGCCCCACTCTGGGTGGCAAAGGGACGCTCAGAAGATCATTTAGAGGGTTTTCCAGAGAACAACATGTTTTCAGCATATCCTGGGGGAAAAAAAACACTGTGCTGGACAAAGCTACAACAAGTACATAGTACAGGTCTTTGAAGCCACAGGTCGTCGGCAAGCCTGTGCATGCAAAAACACAGTGAGCATCAACATCTGGCGAGACTTCATGCAAGCTCTGGAACACAGTTGTTGCTAAGCTGAACAGGTGCCTTCACAAGTAGAAGATCATTTCCCTAAAAGCCACACGATTATCTCGATCCCAGCCAGTAGCCAAAGCCCTGTGTTTGCGAGAAAGGTGCGACCAGCTCCGACTGGTTCAACCCAAACCCTTCCCTTAGGCCAGGTTTGAGAAAGCGGTGTTGCCAGATGGGGCTCCCACAAATCGCTGGGGTCCAGCGAAGGACGGTCTGTGGGTAATGAGAGACCCTCAAAACCATGAAGCGTCCAACCACTTTGAGACACAGGCTGTGTGTCAAATTGGCGCCGAAAGCTTCACAACGAAGCCAACATGAAACCAATCATTTGGCAGGGTCCCAGCGCTTGTGACATGCACTGTGGGTCTGTCTCGAAAATAGACCCCCCGAAAACGTCTGCTTCTCCAGTCGAAGGTTCTCTCAACAAAAAAGAAATAACCCAAAAGCCCACACACACACAAACAAAACACTAACAACACATAAACAACTATATATACCTAAATACAAAACGAGACACACACACACAAACAAAACACACACACGCACAGACACAGACACACGCAAACACCCGAGAAGGCACCGGTTTGGTTTGCCCCCGGCCTTGAATTTGCGCCTGGGCGGCTCCCGCTCGTTGAAGGCTCCGGCAAGCAGGCGCACCGCTTCCGGCACCTCCGCCAGGCGGCAGCTTCCATTTTTGCATCAGCGAAACCAGCAAAAAAAGATCACTTGATATCACTTGCCTAAAGGGACCTAGAAATACAAAGGTTCACCTTTGGGGACCTTGACCCCAAAAGGAGCTAGAAATAAAGGTTAACCTCTTGGGACCTTCACTAAAAGTGGACCAACAAAAACGAAAGCCAGATGGTTGAAAGGTTGGCTTTGAAGAACTGAGAATGGGATGCGCTGCCTACCAACATGGCAGTGAGGGGGTACCTGCAAGAACAACTGACTCAGCTACGACGGAAGGGGAATTGCAAGTCATAACCGCTTCACATTGAAGCTAGTAGGGGAAATATAACATCACTTGAAGCGAATTGAAAACATTGTGAGGCATGCCTGTGCAATCTCCACAAATGCTTGGTGGGGGTCCTTGTGAAAAACTCCAACAGTAAATGGGGCTCCATCAGTTTGAGGGCACAAATCGCCGGCAATTCCTGAAGGGTCATGAGCAAGGCAAACTCATGTCAATTTCCGAAGGCTTGCAATGGGCAAAGAACAGAATGATCAGCACAATGCCCACATTAGTGCGCCAAGAATGACTCAGCTTCAATTTGGGAATCTGTCGATAGACGGAACCAACAAAGCAGGGCGCTGGTGAGACATACATACACACATACATTTGGAACCCGAATCATGTGATCATTGTTCTTGTTGAGTCTTGAGTGAAGCAGAATCGGTATGGTTAGTACCAGCAAAAATGTCTTTGTAGATTGTATCGAGAGTGACTCGTGAGCAAGGGTATAAGCTTACAACTCCCCCGAAATGTTTGTGGCGAAATCTAGCAGGTATATACATCTGTAAGCACAACTACGCAACATGTGTTCACATGTCTATCAGTTTGCATAGGTGCCAACTGATGCATCGATGTGTGTCTACAACATCACTACTCAGTCACACATTTGCACTTGTTTGTGGGACCCTAAATGCAGAAGCGAACACACACATGCATACTCACCTGCATGTTGGCATACTGCGACTACAGTCCTTATTGCGCCAAGATATCTCTCGATCTCTCGCATGGCCCAGCACAGCTTTTCGAGAAACTCGGATATGAATGATGGTTTCAAGTGAAAAGTATGCTGTCAGCCGAGAGCAACCAAGGGCGCCAAACTTGCAACACTCATCACATACTTGAGAATTATTCAATATCCACTTTGGACAAATAAACGTCGGTTCCCCTTTCGGTGAGTGGAGATAACGATTTCCTGCTGTCTCCCCTACGTTCCCAAAGGAGTATGTGTCTGAGTTTTAGTTTGGCACGGTGTTCCCCGTGAATTCTGCTCTGACTTGGCCAATGCGCCGTGGATCAACACCAGCCACTTGGCCACATAAACCCAACATCACGAAAGATAGAGGAGGAATGTCGGGAAGCTTCCATGAACAGTCGAACTGGCCTTGAAAAGTGGCCCAGTTCTCCACATTTCACCCAGGGACACCCCCCTATTACAAACCCATAAGCTGGGGTTGAAATATATGGGGTGAACATTCTTGTTGGCGATCAGACGTCTTGGCCCTAGCCTCTAAGAAAACGCTAGCTCATAAATCAAGCCATGAGGTAAGGG